ATTACTGTCTAAAAATTGTCAGTTTGAAAAGAATTTTAGTATCTAAATTTTTATTTTATTTTTTGCATCTAACTTTCTAACTACAATTGTTATAATATATCAAATGAGTTAATGCATATTGATTTACATATGGCCTTTAATCATGATTTATATCACTTAAATTATATTATTTTTAGGTACTAAATAAAATTAAAAAAAAAAAAGCTCAACGATTTAAATAACTCAGTAGTTATCTTCTTCCGCTGAAAGTAAAAGGTCATGAGTTATAATCACATGCCATGTAAGTGGAGTGAAATAAAAGATAAAATATGGTTGTCTCATTATGCAACCAAGATATATATAAAAAAAAAAGACAAATTCTATCCAAAATTTACACTTGTCTTGCTCAATCCAAAGTGATTTCTCCATTTTCTCTTTACACTTTAGTTCTATCTTTCCTGAACAAATTCAAATTTGTAATAATCAAGGTATTAAATTAGTGCTTTATATTGGTGCGTTATGCTAGAGTAAAAATTAAATCAGTCTTTTTCCGTACAAATTAAATAAATATTAATGTTTATTTTTACTCATTAAAGAAAATAACAAGCAATTAACTTTATAAAAAGGGGGAAGGAAAGATAAGCAAGCAGGTTAATTACCTTTGACTTGAGAGGATTAATTTTTATTTTTATTTTTAAAGAAGAGAAAACAAACAGCAAAGAAAACGCAAAAAAAAAAAAGGTCAAAAAAAAAAAGGCGTTAAGGTTTGCATTGGAGTCAAGTTGACACATTGAGCCTTTCCCACTTTAAAGTCCATAAAGAAGAGATAGTGGTAGCTTTTTTGTTTCTTGTCTTCAAACCCTAATTATGGAGGTTATTAGGGTGATGACGGTCTTGAAGGTTTCCCGTTCTTCAAAAGCCTTGCGTCACATGAAACTCAAAACGCAAGTCAACCACTCTACATGAGAAAGTTTCTCAATGCTATGACATTAATTCTTTTGGCAACTAATTTAAATAATTTATTTGTAATTTTTTTAGTATAAATAAAAAAAATTAAATTTAAATTTCATATTATGAAATAGAGGTAGTTTAAGATATAAGAAAATTTTATATTTATTGTACACTGCAAGATTAAAATAATAATAATAATAATGATAATAATAATAAAATGAAGAATTAATTTAATTTCTTTTGCTTTGTCTAACCTAATCAGCTTCAGTCAGTTCCCCATTTTCTTGGGCCTTAGATTTCTTTTGGATGTGGCATAATATAGCCGAAGCCCATAACATTCATCCACGACCCCGCGAATGACTCACAAGCCTGACCCATGCCCTTTTCATTAAGAGATTCTGACATACTGCCTTGCCTAGAGTTCACTGCAGTGCCAGACGACGGTATCATCGATCTAATAAAGCTTAAGTCATGTTGAAGGGAGAAAAGAACATAAGAGGTTTGATTCTTAATCTTTTAACCCTTTTTTTATCTTAAGTTTCGATTTTGATTGCTTATATCCTAACTATTATTGTACGTATGGTAATAGTAGACATGGGAAAACTTAATAATCTACATGAAGAACTTGTTATTGGGATCTTGTTGCGGCTGCCAGTGGATTCATTAGTGTGATTCAATTGCGTGTGTAAAACATGGTATGATCACATGAAAAGCCCTCAGGATTTGGCAATTCGATCTTCTGTAGACAATGACAGTGGCAACCTTCGCGTTCTTACCAAAAATAGGAATACTAATGCTAGAAGAACTGGTGAGAAAGTAACCACATTGTCCCTAGTTACATGTGATAAATTGCATCATGAAACTCCTTATGGAAACGAGGTTTCTTTTTCTGTGAAGCATGTGGACTTACCACTTGTTAGTGAATACCCAAATATTTTTGTCACGGTAAATTCTCATGGCATTGACTGTCTATATACTAGGTATTGTCAATTGTGAATATACAGCCATTGTTAATCCGGGAATTAGGGAATCTATGTCTCTACCCACTAAATCCTGCACTCCCCTTCCTCTTTAAACATGCGATCATTATGTTTGTCAGGTGGGATTTGGCTTTGATCCCAAAAATAATGATTTTTAAGATTGTTAGGATCATATGGTTGCATTGGTTATCCACAAGCTGAGTTATACACCTTGAGTTCGAATTCTTGAAGACAAATTGACTTTGCACCGTACTGCAAATTAACCCCTACATTTGCATCTAATTATTTAGAAAAATATTGGAATGGAGTTTATCATTGACCTTTGGAAGCATAATACTATCAAGAACACTTTAGAGTGCCTGGAATCCTTTCTTTTGACATAAGTGATGATGTCTTCCAATTTAGACTATTGCCGGAAAGGATTTTTGAGTTTGATGATGTTATGAAAACAATGGTTTTTTTTTGGGATCCTTGAATACAATGGATCTCTTGCTCTTGTTTCCTATCCTCAAATAGATATGGAGAAATTAATGTTTTTACATTTGGGCATTGGATGAGTTTTGGGACAATGAGCTTTGACAAAGTTGTTATCTATTAGACCTCTTTCACAAGTAGAGCAGCTCCTGGGGTTTCTCAAGAGTGATCAGCTTCTTCTACGGTTAGTAAATGGGGAGGTCCAATCCTACAACATCATTACCAATGAAAGGAAGAATCTGCCTATTTATTGCCAATGGATCTTTGATCAAGTAGTTTTTTACAACCCTAGCTCAGTTTCAAAACAGGGAGGAGGAAGTAATTAACTTAGGGATTTAGAAAAGACTGTTTTCATTAATAAATTGTTGTATCCCTTGAGGTTATGAATAATAGTTTACATTTCTGATTAACTTTCTTATTTTGATAATAATTCTAATTGTTATTGTGATATTATCTTGCACTGTATACTAGACCTAAACAGGACCAAGGTATACAAGTACTTATGGAATGTCACACTGTTTCAATTGCTCCCCCATTTTATTAACTTTTTTACTACTCTCTATTTGTGAGATTTGCAATGTGAGAGTTAAGAGTACCCTTGAAAAACAGAGTACATTTTATCTGTTTGGAGACAGCAAGACAAAAATTTTGACTAGATTTCTCTACATTGTCAAAATTCATACTTAAACAAGTTAATCTTATTTTTATCCCGAAGAAATTGTTTGCACACATCCAATAATGGGCATGTTGATTATGCTGCTTTAGTTTTTAGTTTATTTTGTCTTTTTACTAATTTAAAAATATATAAAACATTAATTAAAATAAATACTAAATATAATGTATTTTTAAAATTAAAAAATAAAAAATCTTATAATTACATCCCAATACTTTCAAATAAAGTTTTGGACTAGGTTACTTCTTTGGTAGGCCATTTCTATGGGCTTATGTTTCAAATTAAAAAAGATTTCCTTTTTCTCTTTCCTTTTAGTTTTATCTTTTTCCTCAACAAATTCAAATTTGTAATAATCAAGGTATTATATTAGTACCTTTTATTGGTGCGTTATGCTAGAGGAAAAATTAAATCAGTCTTTTTTGTAGTACTAATTACAAAAATCTTAATAGTTAGATTACTGAATAACCATATAATTTTTATTTTTTAAAGAAAAATAAAACCTTATGTCAAGCAATTTGCTTAAACAAAAAAAAAAAGGAAAAAAAGATAAGCAAGCAAATTATTTACCTTTGGCTTTAGATATTAATTTATCTTTTTGAGAGAGAAAATTTAAAGAAAAAAAATACGTTAGTTTTTAAATTTTAGTTAAATTGACACATAGAGTCTTTCCTACTTTAAAATCCATAGAGAAGAGTTAGTGGTAGCGTTTTTGTTTCTTTTCTTCGAAACCTGATTATAGTGGTTATTTAGGAAGATGACGGTCTAGAAGGATTTCGATTCTTGAAAAGCCTAAGATATGGAACTCAAAATGCAAGTCAACCACCATATGAGGAAGTTTTTCAATGCCACAATGTGGACTCTTTTGGTAAAATAATAATATAAATACATAATAAAATGAAGAATTAATCTAATTTAAAAAAAATAAAAATAATGTAGGTTTAAATTTGATAATAAACTTGATTATTAGATTATTAATTTAATTAATTAAGCCAAACTCTGGCTCGAACTCGAATTGTACAAAAATTCATGCAAGTCGAGCTTAAAGTTAAACTTACAGAAATTCAGCTTAACTGGGCTCATATGGTCGTTAAACAGTGTCTCGATTTCGGCTCATCTAATCATCTTTGGTCCTCTTTCTCAATTTCATGAGCCTGGGGTTTCTGTTGAAAGCAGCATAATAGAGCCCAAGCCTACGTCACTGATCGAACAAAATTAGGAGTGAGCATTTTAGAGTATAAATTGAGTATGAGTTATAATTAATATTTGATTTAGAAATTTTTAAGTATAGTCTTTAGAGCTTATATTTAAATATTAAAAAATCTAAAATTAACATCTAATTTAAAAGATATTAAATAACTTGTAGGTATATACTTATATAATTAATTTATCGAATATTTGAATTGAAGGAATTAAATGGAAGGGAGAGAAGGGAAATTTTATACTTTTATTCCTATTCTCAAATAGATACGGAGCAATGTTTTAACAATTGGGTATTGGACGAGTTTCGGGTCAATGGAGCTTTGACAAAGTTGTAATATTGGACGTCTTTTACAAGTAGAGCAGCCCCTGGGGCAGGGGCTTCTCAAGAGTGATCAGCTTCTTCTACAGTCAGTAAATGGGGAGGTCCAATCCTACAACATCATTACCAAGGGAAGGGAGAATCCACCTATTTATTGCAAATGGTTATATGATCAAGTGGTTTTTACAGGCCTACCTTAGTTTCAATACAGGGCGAGGAAATAATTTGTTATCTCCTGAGATTATGAACAATAGTTTACATTCTGATGAACTTTCTTATTTTGATAACAATCTTAATTATTGTTGTGATATTAAGTTACTCCTACTTTTTATTTCGAACTATCAATTTTATTTATTTAATTTAAATTTTTTTAAAAAATCAATGCTTTAATTACTAAACAAATCTTTAATTTTTGTTCTTATAAAAAGGCATGTCATATCATACAATCATCTTAAAAGCAGGCAATACTATAATTATAATAATTTTATATAAAATCGTAAATAATAATAATAATAATAATGCATTCTATAAACTAATTAAAGTAGGTGAAATTTACAGGAGAAAACTATACATGGATAACGGGAAACTTATCCAATCAAAATATGTAGTGACAAAGCAACCGAAGCAACCGAAGTAGCAGCAAACAAGCATCTTCACATAGCGCCAGTTGCTAACGTCTCTACCGATTTCAGAAGGTTCCATTGCCACAGACCATCCACTGGATTGAGCAAGGGATTGGCATTATTGCTCCTCCTCGTAAAACATAATAGATCGGATTCTTTGGAAGTGCTTTCTTGATATGCATTAGAATTCTTAATCAGTTGTTTTTTTCCTTCTTCTTTCATCTCTCTCCACTGGATCAAATCGGAGACAGGAGTCAAAACAGAATTGTTAGAAAACCTTCGATTCCTACAGGCGCTGCTTTGCTTTCTGTTACCAATAAACGATCCATCACTGAAACCATCACCACCACCACCACCGCCATTGTATCCATCATAAAAACCGCCACTCAGAAATCCAGTATAACAGTGCCAATCATTAGGATCAAATTCATGATTTTCATCAACTTTCTTGTAGCAATAAATCTTCACCATGGGGTCAAATCGTACCCCTTTTTTTGTACCCAGTGCCAGAGTTTGGGGTCTTGAACATAAAGCCATGACGAATTTCGGAGACAAATTAACAGAGACTGCAAAAACAAAGGGATGAAGAAAGATGGACGGGTGGACAAGGGTTGCTGGATATTTATAGAGGAACTAAAAGCCGAATGCTGGTTGGATTTGAACTCCAAGATGGTTCGGGTTCTTTCTTTTACGCGCACTTGGACGGTTGGCCCAATAAATTCAGAAATTTATTGATCCACAAGAAAGACAAGATAATGAGTTAAGGATCCTTCAATAAATTTTTTTGGGGGTAAATACCAGATTTAATCCCTAACTTTTATCCTAAAACTAGATTTGTCCCAACCTTTTATTTAAACCAAAAATGGTCCCTAACTTTTTCAAAATCACCATATCCAATCTTATTGGTAATTACTACTATTAAGTCCCTAACAGAAATATGGAATTTTGTGGGACCCATGATAATCTTTAAATTAGAAAAACTAACCAAGACCTTTTTTTTTTTTACTAAAATTGTTAGATCTCTAATCCCTCTTCTTGTTTTTTCATTTTTTTTTTATTTTTTTATTTTTTGTCATTTTGGCCAACTCAAAATTTCATGTTTTCTTTTTTCTACTTTGACACAAAGATATGGGAGTAAGAGACAAAAATGATTAAAAAGGAAAATCACTAAATGAAACCTTATTTGCCAAAAGAAGAAAGAAAATCCTACCACCTCAAACAATTATGTGCAATCTCACATATAGGAAGAATTTGAATTATAAAACAAAATTGAAATGGAAAAGTCTCTTAAGTGATTCTATTTCAACTTACCATATTTTGGAGGAGTCACACCAGATTGCCTTTGTTGAGGGTGCATTGTTGGAGATAAGGATTGCTAGTAGGAAGGTTTTTTTTTTTTTTTTGAAAATTGTAACTCAAAATCAGCCAAGTCAATTTATTTCGTCGCAGAATTTAGCATCAAAATAGTTGGGGAAATGAGTTTTTTTTTTGGTAAACTAGGCAATGAAAATTAAAAGGAAAAAAGAGAAAAATCATAATGAAGATATATGTGGGTCCTATAAAATTTCAATTAGGATTTTTGTTAGGGAACCGTAGCAACTACCGGTGCTTTAAATTTGGTAATTTAAAAATGTTGAGGACCATTTCTAGTTCAAAAGAAACTTGAGACAATTTCTAGTACTTAAGATAAAGGTTAAGGACTAAATTTGACATTTACCCTTTTTATGATGAGTTAAGGACGCTTTGTATACAGTACAAATATTTACAACAGCTCAATCCTGGCCCATTATGCTGAAGCCCAGCTGTGCTGCATGCGGTTCTCATCGAAAAAACTATAATTATAATTATGATACCCTAAGATATTATAAATTTATATATTTATAATATAATATATTATTTTATAATTTATTCTTATCAATTAAAAATCCATTCATGATATTGCATAAATCCATTCA